TCCCCAGCATCCCCAGTGTCCCCAGTGTAAATGCCACCTGTGGCAGAAACAGACATCAACTGTCTGAGAACACCAGATAAAAATCAGTCACAGCATTGACTGGGAAAGGGTCCAAGTCACTGACCACAAATCATCCAACAAAGACTTGCTATTTTGAATAAAAGTGCTCCCTCTCACACAGCACAATGGGGTTTATGTCTGAGTTCAGAGCTCGAGGACAGTTAGCGATCACATTAGATGTGTCCTGTGTCCAACCTTACCCTGCCTGAGCCCATCTCTTCAGGGGGGCACCGGCACAGGTCAGGGGTTAAACGTGCTCGGGCCCAGTATGGATCACATAGTGTGAGTACACCCTAAGACATGATGGCTTCTGATCCCTGCTAGGGCTGATTTAATATATAAATATTAATATCACGATTTCTCCACAGTAACAAAGAAGAGTAAAAATTGCTCCATGTTCCCAAGTAAAGACCAAATCTTCAGGTAATCCAGCTTCCTCGGTCTCACAGTGGTGTGAAGAACTGAAAGTGGACATTCAGGAAACATTTCTCTGAGGCAGAGCTGCTCTGGATGCACAAATAATCTCACTGGCTGAGCTGAACTTTGGTAGACAGCCAATCTCTAAAAAGGGGATTCTCTGGCCCCGCCCACTGAAGTCCAACTCAACCAATGAGTTTCTTTGCGTCTCCAGAGCAGAAATGTTTGAGGAACTAAAAGCACAATCAGCTTGATGTTGAGGAGAAGGGCTGTGCAGCAGAGAGGCTGTTTAGTTTCTTCATTCTACTGCAGTGGAAGAACATTGCTCATCTGCTGTCTGTCTGGCTTTAACAACTCCAAAGACATGTTGCTTTACCTCTTTTTACTTTGCTCTCACTTCATAGGTGAGTGTTGGAGTGTTTGTGTCCACAGAGTAACACTGTACAGCTGCCATTTTCCACTGTCTTCTCCTCTCAGCCTCATGAACAATGTTAGTCTAATGGCTTCATTTGCTCTACTTTTTCCAGGACTAATAGCTGGAGACACAATCTCTCCTGAACGAGAGGAAGTCAGTGAAAGAGAAGGACAATCTGTCACACTCACATGTAACTATCAGACAACATACAACAATATTCGCCTTTACTGGTACAAACATCATTCTGACCTTCAGGCACCTCAGTTTATACTCTGGAAAGGAGCAAAATCATGGAGTGATGAGGAATATATTCCTGATGAACGATATGGATCTGAAACATCAGCAACATCAACTACACTGACCATCAGAGATCTAACCCTGGCAGACACAGCTCTCTACTACTGTGCTCTAGAAACACAGTGATACAAAGTGTAGAAGAGGCTGTACAAAAACCTGAACCCAGATATCTGACTACTCTTCAAAGAGGAGGGAAGTGGTATTCAAACCACAGCTTCATATCAGATGGATTCTGCTAATTCCTGTTTTATCAGAGTCACTGTGGTTCCAGCTGCTAATGAAACACTGGGGGAGGATTCACAGGAGCAGCAAATCCACATCAGAGAGAAACCACCTGCAGGAGGCACAAGCACAAGCCCATTTCTCCATTACAACAAATAAATGTATACTGAAACTAAAATTAATAATGTGTCAGATCTGACCTTCAACATGTCCAACAGAGACCACAGTCCCTATAATATGAAACAATTCCATACACAAGGTTTGTCTTCAGGCTCAGCTTCCTCTTCACCACAACGGTCTTGTCATGGGCAGCTGAGTGCAGGAGCAGAGAGCTGAGGTGCAGACCCAAATGCACCCAAAACTAAGCAGGCTTACGCTGGGAGCACAGCGGCAAATGTTCAAACAAAAGGTAACGCCAAACAAAACATAATCCAAAGGGAAGAGTCCGAGAACAAAGAACAAAGTACAATCCAACAAAATAATCCAAAGCGCAGGGACGGGACAGAACACGCAACACAGACAAAGGACGTGACAAAGACTGAACAAAACTGAGGGCTTAAATACACAAGTAAACGAGCAGGGCGGGAGTGCACAGGTGAAAGACATGAGGAGCTAATCAGGCACAGCAGACACACAGTGAAACAGCAAGCTAACCAGGCAAGAAAGTAATACAGAACAGAATAAACCGAAATGACTATAAACACAACAATACACAGATCCATAAAGAAAAAAGGCAGAGGTAACAAACTAATAATCAAGACAATACACTAACCAACAACAGGAACAAAGCTAGACAAGAACACCAGGCACAGAAGATTACAAAATAAAACAGGAAGTAAAGTACACAGGAACACACATGGAAAGATCTACCAAAGTAAAACACAAAACATGGAAAGACTGCAAAATCAGGGCATGGACAGAGACAGGACCAAACAGGAGACAGGACTATACTAGAACATGGAGACATAAGACTAAGTACTAAGACACAGATCAAAATAATAAAACACAGAAGTACACAGACCAGGAATGACACTAAACATGAACTAATGCACACAACTAAGAACAAAAGGCACTGGACTAAGAACTGAGGCTAAGAAGTAAAATGCAAGACTAAGAACTAAGATAAGAGGCCAGACAGATACTAAGAAAACTTAAACATGAGAATGAACAAAAGACTTAAACATGATCAAATAATGAACCACAGAAATACAAAACCCAAAACCATGAAACCAGATACTAAGTAAACTAGAACATGTGCCTGAATAAAAATAAACAAGGCTACAGAGAGAAACTCAGAACCAAAAACGGACTTAAACAGGAAAGACATGAACCCAAAACCACACTCCTAACAGGTCTGGTACAACGCCTGCATGACTGCTGACGCCGCACCAATCTGCCTGTCGATGTCATGCTTCATTTTACCGTCACTGGTGAACAAGACCACAAGATACTTGAAGTCTGTCACTTGGAGCAACAACTCTCTCCCACCCAACAAGGAGCCATCCGGCGTTTTCCAGCAGAGAACCATGACTTCAGACATGGAGGTGCTGACCACTTCACATTCAACTGCAACTCGTCCCAGTTCATGTTGGAGGTCACAGTCTGATGAAGCCAACAGAGCCACATCATCTGCAAATAGCAGAGAAAAAATGCTCAGGCCCCCAAACCGAACACCCTCCTCCCCCCGGATGCTCCTTCAGATTTTGTTCATGAAAGTTACAAACATAATCTGCGACAAGGGACAAACCAGCCAGCCCAACACCCACCTGCTGAGTGTACAAACTCAGCTCTCACTCTGGTTTTGTAGGGACAGGATGTCTCGTAGCAACAGCCATGGTACCATGAATATGTTTTTATGATGTTTTAAATTGTCACCTGGTGAAATATCAAAAGTTAATACGTGATGTTTTAAAATATACAGTCAGGTTGACTTAAGCACTGACCGATCGATTTTCGCCTCAAACTGCAAATGGGAAGTCACGGATGATCACATTGTCTTGTCTTCATATGCATGCCACACACCTCCTTGAAGCTAGGAGGCTCAGCTACATCTCAAACAGACCATTTTTATCCACACCTAACCAACCACGCATCTAAATGAACTTATATCACAACATAAATTGGGGCTGCAGTTCATCTCATCTCATCCTACTACGACCACTCTAAAGAAAGCTGAGCTCCAGCTCTGATCAGCTGTATAACTCCTATCAATCAACTCACAAAACTCAGAGCCGACTAATAACAAACGCAGCAATATGTGCTTACAGTTACAACGCTGACATACTTTTGTCTTTTCCCTGGATTCAGTCCAAAAACAGCTGTTTTCTGTGTCAATAGAGCCCGCCATCTTGGTATTGCACAATCAGTGAGCTCTTTAGGCAGGGTACACCCTGGACAGGTCGCCGATCCATCACGGGGCCACACATAGACAAACAACCAGTCACACTCACACCTAAGGACAATATAGGGTCACCAATCAACCTAGCCTGCATGTCTTTGGACGGTGGGAGGAAGCCGGAGCACCTGGAGAGAATCCACGCAGACACGGGGAGAACATCTCTACACAGAAAGGCCGGGGCCGGGTTCGAGCCTGCAACCTTCTTGCTGTGAGGCGACAGCGCTAACCACTATACCACCGTGCCGCTTCTTTAGGTTTCTTTTCTCATCAAAATGAAGGAGAGAAGAAGAGTTGCTTTGGAACAGATGGTCATTATCGGCCTCTACTGGCCCGTATGAGCTACACAGACATCCAGTGTACCATCAGTTCGTCTCTTCAATACGAAGAGAACGAGCCCACCTACAGCCCTGTAGGAGGTTCTGTTATCAACTTGTATGCCTGTAAAGCATGGGAGTGCTTTAGGTCACAGGAATGTTGATCAATATTCACTGTTTTTATCAATATTTCAATGTTTTGGAAGCTTTATATTTTTTGGAACATGGTTGTATGGACAGAAATAGTGTTTTGAAGAAAACTCCCAGTACATTTACATTTAGCTTTTATTCAAAGCGACTTACTATTGCTACACATGTCAGAGCCTCTGGAGCAACTAGGGGTTAAGTGTCTTGCTCAGGGACACATTGGTGAATGTGTCACAGTGGGGGATTGAACCCTGGTCTCTCACACCAAAGGCATAGTCTTATCCACTGCACCACCACCAAATGGTTCATTTACAGTTTCTCCATATCCCTTAGTTTCTGGCCTCAAAGGAGACCAGAATTATGCAGCTAGGCGTAATGGTTGAGGAGTTATTACTGATTTATTTTAGGTATGTTATTTTAGGCCTTTTTTTCTGGAAGTAGGTGTTAGTTTCCAAGAGGTTGAATCTCAAAATTGTTTCAGCTTTAAAACACCTTCAATTTATATCCAAAAGACAAAACTATTAAAGTGTAAACAACATAAAATCATGACGTTCAAATATTTATTGCCATTTTATGAACAAAAACAGAATTAAGAGGCATTAGCAGATTTAGAATGAGACCCAGCTGTGATGAAGAGCTTCAGAAATGAAACTACTGTGAAATATGAGTCTCCTCCTACTGACTGCAGAGCTGCTTCATGGCAGAGAACTCTTTGATTCCAGCTGTGAACATCAGACCAAACCAACTGACAGAACGTGTTCATACTGAACATTCAGTTCCAGCATTTCTCCTCTGTCAACATGGAGAAACTCGCTGCACTTTTGTTCTTTTCAGCTCTCGTAGGTACGTGTGTTTCTGACAGTGAGTGCTGGTTTTAAATGATGGATGTCTGCCTTTGGAACAGAACTCTGAATCTAACATGTTGTTTCCCTCACTAGGTAACACCTTGGAAGATGATATTACTGCCAGCAGAGCTGAAGTGTTCTCATCAGAGGGCCGTAGTGTTACTCTGTCCTGTAGCTATTCAGTTAAAGCCGAGAATCTCCAGTGGTATCGACAGGATCCTGGATCAGCTCCTCAGTTCCTTCTCCTGATCACTGATGCAAAAGAGCCTTCAGTGGTGGAAGCAAAACCTCCACACCCTCAACTGACCGCTAACCTGAATGAGGAGAGGAATCGAGTCGATCTGCAGATCTCCTCTGCTGCAGTGACAGACTCTGCTGTGTACTACTGTGCTGTGAAGCCCACAGTGACAGGAAACACCAAAACTCTGTACAAAAACCTTTGGAGCAAAGACAACAGAATACTCCACAACGTCCACTAGAGGGAGTCACACACTGTTAAACTTCAGTGTGATGATGAAGTCTTAAATTACTTATATTCTACATGAATCAATGAAATATTTGTAATATCTTATAGGTATAAAACATTTTAACAACACTTAGCAGGAAGCCTTTCATTAGGAGGGGATGTCTCTGAATGATCTTCCTCGAGGGTTTTTCAATCATGATTTTTAAACCTATAGGCAAAGGGAACATACAGAGATAATATCTTTGTGTCACAGTAAGTTCAATTGGGCAAAGAGGAACACGAGGGAGTGGACCAGACCCAGAACCAGAGGCATGGCAGGTTCAGTTTTATGGTTTTCAAAATAAAAGAGTACACTGACTTACAGCAAGCTGAGGCAGGCCAAGGTCCACACAGGCAGACACATAGCAAACACATCCAAAGGAAGCAGCAATAAACCAAATCTAAACGGTCTAATACATCAGGCCAAAAATCCAAAACACAGGAAAACACTGGGAAATGGCTGGAAAGCTTGACATATAGACAAAGACAAGGCAGGCGCACAGACTAAACACACAAGTGAGGGGAGATTAAGAAGACACAGGTGAAACTAATTAGGACAGGGCAGCCAATCAAATGGGCGGGAAAACACGAGGGCAGGAAATAAAGTAAGACAAGACACAGGAGATACAACATAAAATAGAAAATAACAACATCAAAACCCAAAACCATGACACCATGTCAATAATATGGAGTCTTAAAACACATTGTGATTGGTTTATGGAATAGACGATAACTGACTGATGAACTCAGCATCCGGCTGTGAGCTCTATTTTCTTTAAGTTAATCACAAGTGCTTTCACTTTGGCTGACTTAAAGAAAATCGGAAAGAAACAAAAGCATAATTGCAGAGAATTAAGAACACCAGTATATATAAATATGTCTCGGTAACACTTTATTTGAAGGTGCTTGTAATAAGCAGTAATTAACAGTTAATAAGCAGCAATTAAAAAATAATCAAACACTTTATAAAGATGTTTATAACACAAATAAGTGTTAACTAAAGCACAATTAACTCATTTATTATTGATAAGACACTTATAGGCCCTTATTAGGAACTTGTTGATGTTTATTTACCTGTCATAAACATTATTAAGCTGTTTATTAACATTTTATAAGGGCTGGTTATTGATAAATGAACAGAATTGTTATTTCCTTGTAAGACACTTGTAGTGGGTTAGGGTTAAAAAATCTTAATATTTACAGGCAGCTTATGAAATACATTTTTATTAACATTGACACTTAACTTTAGCATGCAGCTATAAAATAAGGTATGTAGTTTAAAATAAGGCATGTAGTTTAAGCTAACATTAGCATGCAGCTATAAAATAAGGTATGTAGTTTAAAATAAGGCATGTAGATTAAAATAAGGCATGTAGTTTAAGCTAACATTAGCATGCAGCTATAAAATAAGGTATGTAGTTTAAAATAAGGCATGTAGATTAAAATAAGGCATGTAGTTTAAGCTAACATTAGCATGCAGCTATGAAATAAGGCATGTAGATTAAAATAAGGTATGTAGTTTAAAATGAGGCATGTAGTTTAAGCTAACATTAGCATGCAGCTATAAAATAAGGCATGTAGTTTAAAAGAAGGCATGTAGTTTAAGCTAACATTAGCATGCAGATATAAAATAAGGCATGTAGTTTAAAATAAGGTATGTAGTTTAAAATGAAACATAAACATTATTAAGCTGTTTATTAACATTTTATAAGGGCTGGTTATTGATAAATTAACAGAATTGTTATTTCCTTGTGAGACACTTGTAGTGGGTTAGGGTTAAAAAATCTTAATATTTATAGGCAGCTTATGAAATACATTTTTATTAACATTGACACTTAACTTTAGCATGCAGCTATAAAATAAGGCATGTAGTTTAAAATAAGGCATGTAGATTAAAATAAGGCATGTAGTTTAAGCTAACATTAGCATGCAGCTATGATATAAGGCATGGAGTTTAAAATAAGGTATGTAGTTTAAAATAAGGCATGTAGTTTAAGCTAACATTAGCATGCAGCTATAAAATAAGGCATGTAGTTTAAAATAAGGTATGTAGTTTAAGCTAACATTAGCATGCAGCTATAAAATAAGGCATGTAGTTTAAAATAAGGTATGTAGTTTAAGCTAACGTTAGCATGCAGCTATAAAATAAGGCATGTTGTTTAAGCTAACTTTAGCATGCAGCTATAAAATAAGGCGAGTTGTTTAAGCTAACGTTACCATGCAGCTATAAAATAAGGCATGTAGTTTAATCTAACTTTAGTATGAAGCCATAAAATAAGACATGTAGTTTAAGGTAACGTTAGCATGCAGCTATAAAATAAGGCGTGTAGTTTAAGCTAACTTTAGCATGCAGCTATAAAATAAGGCATGTCGTTTAAGGCATGTAGTTTAAGCTAACTTTAGCATGCAGCTATAAAATAAGGCATGTAGTTTAAAATAAGGGATGTAGATTAAGTTATCTTTAGCATGCAGCTATAAAATAAGGCGAGTTGTTTAAGCTAACTTTAGCATGCAGCTCTAAAATAAGGCATGTAGTTTAAGCTAACTTTAGCATGCAGCTATAAAATAAGGCATGTAGTTTAAAATAAGGTATGTAGATTAAGATATCTTTAGCATGCAGCTATAAAATAAGGCATGTCGTTTAAGCTAACTTTAGCATGCAGCTATAAAATAAGGCATGTAGTTTAAGCTAACTTTAGCATGCAGCTCTAAAATAAGGCATGTAGTTTAAGCTAACTTTAGCATGCAGCTATAAAATAAGGCATGTCATTTAAGCTAACTTTAGCATGCAACTATAAAATAAGGCATGTAGTTTAAAATAAGGGATGTAGCTTAAGCTAACTTTAGCATGCAGCTATAAAATAAGGCGTGTCGTTTAAGGCATGTAGTTTAAGCTAACTTTAGCATGCAGCTCTAAAATAAGGCATGTAGTTTAAGCTAACATTAACATGCAGCTCTAAAATAAGGCATGTAGTTTAAAATAAGGGATGTAGTTTAAGCTAACTTTAGCATGCGGCTCTAAAATAAGGCATGTAGTTTAAGCTAACTTTAGCATGCAGCTATAAAATAAGGCATGTAGTTTAAAATAAGGCATGTAGTTTAAGCTAATGTTAGCATGCAGATATAAAATAAGGCATGTAGTTTAAGCTATCTTTAGCATGCAGCTATAAAATAAGGCATGTTGTTTAAAATAAGGGATGTAGTTTAAGCTAACATTAGCACTTGGATTTTTAGAGCAGCTTGAATAATGTCTTAGGGTGTTTTCTCTCAACCTGGACATTAGAAATTGGTCCAAGAGATGGCTGCAGTGGCAGCGTGAAACAAGCTACAATGTAACATTAATATGCCGCTGCACACCTTCAGTTTCCATCCATAACGTGCTTGTTTTGCCACTGACACGCTCAGATAATTATTCTTAGTGTCTGACAACATTATGGAAAGGATCCCAGCTGAGGTCAAGCTTTTGTTAAAGAGTAAGATCCGTTTTGTTTTAACATGAAACATCCCTGAAATCGCCAAACCCACCAGACTCTATTCAAATTAACTGTCATTTTGTCAAAGTCGACAGGAACAAGATAAAACCTTCACAAACCATCTTAGTTGTCTAAGAAAATAAGAAATGTACTTAAGTATAAAGGGTAGCTGTATTAGGAGTGCAAATTACAATGTGATGTCCAATCTCGCATTCATGAGGTATATATAACTTATAGCTCTAATAAAGGCCTATAATTGTCTTATAAGCAATAATTAATCAATTAATAATTTATTAGGCTTTAATTAACACTTATATTGTTGTTTATAAGCATCCTATAAGGTCTTATAAGTGTCTTATTAACTGTTAATTACTGCCTATTACAAGCACCTTAAAATAAAGTGTTACCTATGTCTCATTTACAGAAAATAAAGCAAAAACTTTCACATCCTGTAGAATTTACTGGTACGGTAGGAAGTGGAACAGAGAGAAGTGAAAATCCAGAGCTGCGAGGAGACGGAGAGATTGAGGGAGGAGCTAAGCTGTTAGTGAACTATAGAAGAGAGAGGAACTTCCATATTCAGCAGAGTTCAATACACAAAGCAGAAACATTCCCTTTATTCAACATGCTGTCATTGGACTATTATGTACTTTCTCTACTGTTACTATCCATTCTAACAGGTATGTGAGATCCTGCTGAGAAAGTTTCATTACTAACTTTTCTGGATGGGATTCATTTGTTGAGTCTTTTACAACATGAAATAAAAGAGTTATCTCTTCCTTCAGGTGTCAGCTGTGAAGAACTCACTGCAGTCAGGAATGAAGAGTTCACTTTAGAAGGCAGCTCTGTTACTCTGTCCTACACATACTCTAAAAAAGCAACTGGTAGTGATCAATTCTTCTGGTATCGACAATATCAAGGAAAACTACCAGAGTTCCTCATCTTTCACTTGGGAACACAAAATGCAACAAACTCTAGATGGTCTGCTAAAGTGAGTGATGATAAAACCCATCTGGATCTGCAGATCTCCTCTGCTGCAGTGACAGACTCTGCTGTGTACTACTGTGCTGTGAAGCCCACAGTGACAGGAAACACCAAAACTCTGTACAAAAACCTTTGGAGCAAAGACAACAGAATACTCCACAACGTCCACTAGAGGGAGTCACACTCTGTTAAACTTCAGTGGTTTATGATACAGCCTGGATTTGTTGTGCTAGTGATTAAACAAAACAAAAAAATGTGACAGCAGTATGTGGAAGATATTACAAGTTCTGAAATGTTATTTTAAGTCAATTCAGACAAAGGATGATAATTAAATGTTGTTGGATGGTAGCTGGACAAAATAAAGTGTTTATATAAAGAGACCATCACCACTCAGTCCTCCATGAATGGAGTCCTTTCTCTTCACTGCTGTTTGATCCTTCAGGAGTAAATAATTAAAATTTCCATTCTGTAAAAACACATGATGTCAAGGCTCTGACTCAGCATCTGTCAGATAAACAGGAACACCACCACCTTTCCTGTCAAGTTGAAAAACATTTCTAAAATAAAAATTTGAAGGGGCTGACTCAATGAGAAATGGTGCACTGCTACTATTATCTATCCAAGTTTCAATTAAAAGTGCAAAGTCAAAATAGTAGGTAGTAATAAGATCATTAAAAGTGGAAAATTTGACAGATGCAAACAATCTTTGTCCTTGGAACTGAAAATCTACTCTGTAGGTGATTTATTTTGTAAAGTCATCTCATGATTTGATGTGTCCTCAAACTTGACGCAAATGTAATAATGTGAATAATATTGTTTGAGTAAAAGAACATTGTTTGAGTAAAAAAAACAAAGTGTTGAATAAGTAGTCAATGTGGGTGGCATGTGTAATTGAATAGTATCGTCTGTATAAAGATTGACTTCAGTGACGACCTTCACATGTTCTGTCAAGAGTCAATCAGTGTTACCTTTTCAGTTACTTGTCACCTGATGGAAATGTTGTGATTTAGTGAATAACAGCACCACAGCAGAGACAAACTCACTATTTGTCAGAGTTGTGAGGGCAAGGAGGGAGGGATTAAGGGAGGAGCAAAACTGGGACTCAAGGACAGAAAAGACACAAACTTTCACAGTGGCGTTTGATCCAAAAGCAGACAGATTCTCTTTCTCTTTAAGATGCTGTCAGTGAACTTCAGTCTGTTTGTGACTTTGTTTCTGCTCACAATAAGAGGTAGGTGAGATCATCAACATTAAGAGTTTCACTGATAGAAACCTTTAGATTGTAAAGTTACAGAGTTATCTCTTCCTTCAGGTGTCAGCTGTGAAGAACTCACTGCAGTCAGGAATGAAGAGTTCGCTTTAGAAGACAGCTCTGTTACCCTGTCCTACAAATACTCTAAACAAGCAACTGCTCTTGATTATTTCTTTTGGTATCAACAATATCCAGGAAAACCACCAGAGTTCCTCATCTTTCACTTGGGAACACAAAATGCAACAAAGTCTAGATGGTCTGCTAAAGTGAGTGATGACAAAACCCATCTGGATCTGCAGATCTCCTCTGCTGCAGTGACAGACTCTGCTGTGTACTACTGTGCTGTGAGGCCCACAGTGACAGGAAACACCAAAACTCTGTACAAAAACCTTTGGAGCAAAGACAACAGAATACTCCACAACGTCCACTAGAGGGAGTCACACACTGGTAAACTTCAGTGTGATGATGAAGTCTGGATTTGTTTCAACTTGAACAAATGTATGCAATACTGTCAATATACTGTATGTACTGTTATACTTCAGTATTGGAGAAAAACATTTACACAGTTTGAATGAAGCATGTCCATAAACTGGTTGGCATCACAGACTCAGGTTTTCATTGCTTTTGTTCTTATCTTTATAAAAGAAGAAGTTTCTCAGTTTTTCTCTCAGGCTGTGATTTCTTGTGGTGTACCACAAGGTTCAATCCTAGGGCCTCTCAGTTTTTATCTACATGTTGCCTTCAGATGAAATTATTTTTAAAACACATCAGTTTCCATTGTTTTGCCAACAATATTGGATTATAGTTCCAATTAAAATCCAGCAATCATGGCAGCTGGTTTTATTCATGTGAAGTTCTGGTGTTCCAGATTTTCCTACAACTGAGTGAGTCTAGAAATTTGACTATTATATTTGCCCCTTCAGCTGAAGGGAATAATCTTATATTCCAATTGGCTACAATTGCATTAAATGTCAATCCACTGAGCCCTGATTTCCAAACCAACAACACAGTATCTGAAATACAAGCATTAATGTCACGATTGATGGTGGGGCAGGTTGGTGGACCCAAATGCAGGACACAGAGCAAGCGAGTGCAGTTCAAAGAAGGTTTAATTAAAACCGAGCACACTTGAATCCAGAATCCAAAAACAACAGAGTCCAAATAAACAGGTGATCCAACAGAAATCCAAATCCACAGAAACAGGGTGACACGACGAGCAGGGCAAGTAAAACAATACAACACGAGACAGAGCGTCTACACACTACAATGACCGGACACAGACTGAGGAAACAAACAAGTATACACACACACACACACACACACACACACGGGGTAACGAGCTGGGAGGGAGCAACACAGGTGACCAGGATCAGGTTAACGAGGCAGGCAGAGAGACAGCAGGGAAACAGAGAGGCTCACCTGACAGGCAGACATGGGGCAAAATTAATAACCAACACAGACAGAACACGTTACAAATTACCAGACAAGAATCTAATTTCAGACAATAACAGAAACTCATATAAACAGACACACACCGACCAACTATAACACAGGGATCATAGCAGACAAAACCTAAATGAGAAGACAGAACTAGAACACAGAGCAGACTAAACCAAAATGATGCAGAGAAAGAACTAGAAGCAAATACTACGACATGAACTAAAGCACAGGACTAGGAACAAAGACATGGAATAAAAACCCAGACTCCCCAACAAGACACACAGCCAGGACTGAAACCCAGACACAGAGGAACCAAAATCAAAGCACAGAGAAGGCACGGCCAAAATAATATAATTCAGACAAGCTCAGGACAGGATCGTGTTCTTAGCATTTCTTTTACTTAAAATGAGCCATCTGATGTTAGCTAGCTGAGAGTCCACCCTATCATTTCATTGTCACTATGTAATTTCACACTGGTGTTTAGGCATGAGCAGTGAAAATGGGGATTAGTTATTGTAGAGATACCTTTTTACATTAATATAGAGTTTTTTTATTTCATTTCAAGTCTTTGTGATTCCTTTCACAATGAAAATGGCATTTGTTTTCCCCAACAACAGTGTTTTTCAGACTACTGCTTATTGGATGCAGATGACATCATTCACAACATGAGCAAGAGGAAAGGAGATATTTGCTAAAAAAGAGTAAGTTGAAACTTTAAACTTGATGAGAACGATAAAACCTTAGGAATTAGAGATAATAATGCAGACTGTATTTATGTGTGGGTTTGTTTTGAGCGGTCATGATGGTCTGCTGTTGTCTGACTTGCTGGCAGTTTTGCTCTTGACTTCTTGGTGACCTCTGACTACAAAAGTTGTCGTGGTATGGGGCACCCGTGAACTGGTGTGATGAATTTGGTTTATCATCATCTACAGACTGATGACATTAGTTAAATAGGCAAGGATTGTAAGCATTGGAAGATTTTGGTTCACTGAAGCCCGCGTCTGTGCTGTACTGGGTTTTCTTTTGGATCTGGAAAAATTGTTGACCCCCCGGTCGTCACTGTATAATTCACACTCTGGTCGCTTTGGATAAAAAGCATCAGCTAAATGTGTTGAATTGAATTGAGCGAATGCAACAACTATTTCATTTTTAAACATACTTCAGACGTGGCTTAACGCACAACAGACTTCAAGCATATATCTTCAAGAATTTACATAATCTTAACATTTTTTACATTCTGTACTGTCACTTTTGTCATGTATCTATGTACTATCTTGTATTTTATCTTCTTGCAGTACTTGATAAGGCACTATACTGATGATATTTGGAACTAAATGGTTGTTTTTTATACGTACTGTAATGTTTAGCCCCATGCTGGAAGGAGGAGACATGGACTCAGGAGTTCTTCACCTGGTGCTTCAATTTATTTCTTCCAGACACGTGGAAAGTGCAGTAGTGCAAGGGTGAATTATTGCAAAAGTATATCAAAAATTTAATAGAAAACAAAACAAGGAAACTAAGTACAAACTACTCAAATTATCATTACAAACTGATATTAAACAACACAAAAAAACTTATACCAGGTCCTCTGCTGAGAGGAGCCTCTGCCTCCTTCCTTTATACCAGAAGCCCCTCCTACAAGACAAACCAAAGTTAATTGGAAATCTATTAAACAGCAATATGTTACCTCAACAGTCCAGAATATTTCTGGCTACATCAATACACAATATATCAACTATAAAACCAGAAATGAAATGTTACATGCTGAACAAAGCTTCTCAAAACAGCAACTTAAGGTACTCCAGTACCTCTGTACTGGCTCACACTGTAAATTACTCCACACTCCATCACTTCCTGTTTGCCCCTTCAACCCAGATCCCTGCTTGAGGATGAGAACAGGTGAATGAACATACAAACATTTGGATGACCTTGGGTAAATCCAGTAAGCTAAAATAAATGACTTGAAATGAACTGTGTATGTGTTGTATTTATCCAACCATGATTTCAACTCTTCTGACTAGTACTTAAATGAACTATGAAATGACATGAAATGACTTGAAATGACACATGTGACCATTGATGCTAGCCCATATGCTAAAGGTATGCTAATGCTAAAAGTCCTATGCTATGTTCAGCTAAGGTTAGCTCAGCATGCTAAGACCAATGCTACCGCTGGCTTAAATGAAGGCATGGGGGCCCCATGACACGTACTTTAATCACTTTTGTAATGTAGTTATGCATGATACTTTTAATGTATTTTTCTTGCAGTACTTGTTGAACATTGTTCTGATGTACATTTACATTGAAGTCTAACTACGGTGTTGATTAATGTGAACTGTCCCTGTTAAATTAAATAAAAAATACCACTTTGATACGGCAGCTAACAGAATACAGTGA